TTTTTTTGTTTACTTGAACTTTCTCCTACTTCTCCTGCTTCTTTGGTACTGGGTTTGAATTAGGGGCCCTTCTCATGTTTGTTTATATATTTTTGGTTTGTTTGTTTGATTTTGAGGCAGAGTCTTGCTGTGTAGTTCATGCTGGCCTTGAGCACACAGGCACCACCACACCTGGCCAGGGCCCTTCTCATGGGGCTACATCCTCAGCCTTTTTTTCAAAAAATTAATTTTCTACTTTGAGGCAGTGTCCTGAGAAGTCACTAAATTACCAAAGCAGGACTCAAACTTGTGATCCTCCTGCCTCAAGCTCCCTAGGTGCAGGGGTCACGGGTGTGTGCCACCACTCCTGGTTCAGGGAGCATTCTTGATGAGGAGCACTCCAAGGGGAACAGCAGTGAGGAAGAATATTCCAGAAAGAGGGAACAGCGCGTGCAAGGCAGGAGGATGGAGAGGTCTGTGGCATGGTCAGAGACAAAATCAAGGGCCACAGCTCGAGAGACCTCTCCCTCTGCAGCTAACCTGACTGGCCCAGAACGGCCGGTCCCCATCCACAGCCATCCAGTGCAGCATAACGAAGGTATCCTGGTCCCGTCACACTCAGGATCCAGGAGTTCTCTTGGGAGAGGCTGTCTTAGGAGGAGCGGGTGGCTACCTAGCCAAGGCCTGAGGAGGGCCAGAGGAAGTGCAACTTGTCCTTGTGCCCCATACGCCTGTCCTAGATCAGAAAGGACAGTGAAATGACGTCCAGCAGAGCTGAGAGTGGCAGCCCAGCTGGAATGCAGAAGTGGAAGCTGCTGGCTCATCCCGACAGCCAGAACAGCTTTGGGGCTCACCACAGGCCACAGAGTAGGTCCCACTTGTTGTGAGTTCCAACCAAGCAGCAGTCCCAAGCTGCCTGAGGAGCAGGGGGACCCTTCAGTGGTCTGTGACACCCAGCACACAGGCTCCAGGAAGGGGAAGCTGCCAGTACTTCCTCAAAGGCAGTTTCAGGGTGGGTGTGTCTGCCCCCCTCCTGCCCCCCTGCAGAACCGGACAGGACTCTCTAGGAGTGTCTAGAGTCCAAGATTCTGACAGCTCAACCGCCACGGTGCCTAGGGGGCAGGGTGTCCCCTGCCAGGGATGTGTGACCACCGAATAAATCACCATTTTGGAGACAGGGCATCGGCAGCATCTGGTTGAGAATCTCAGTGGCCCAAGCTCCCTCCCTCTCCTAAACTCTGAAAAGCTCCACCTCCTGGCGCATCCCCTGAACTTCTGCCTTCTTGCTTCTTGGCCCAGCAGCAGTTCTGAGATTGGAGTCAGCTATCCTACCCTCTCTCTCCACCGCCTGCCAGAGCTCTCTTCCCCAAATGTGGGGGCCCTGGACCCCAAGGTTCCCCTTCCTGGTCATCCACTCCATTTATAGATAATTGGCCTAGAGACTCAGGACCTAGCACTTCTTGCCCAGAAGTTTCTGGATGAGGCAAGACCCCCCCTCCCCGGCAACCAACACTTAACACAAAGTGAGGGGAGTGGGGTGCGGGAGGATCTAGAGGGAAGTGTCATCTGCTAA